CTTTCATTGCCAACTGCTATCACTGCAATTACTTTACATCACAGTTTCCTTGTTAAGAGTTACAAATTGGCATACAGCCCTCCCCTTCCCCCCAATGTAGGATTCTAAATCTTCCACAACCATTTCTGTAGAAATCCGATTGCTTTAGATAATCTGAAATTTTCACTGTGTGGTCCTAACAGAGTAACTTTCTTCTTGCCAAGATGATAATCCTTCTCCTACTCAGTTATTTGCTAGGTTGAAATCACAGACACTTGGAACAGGCAAACAATGTCAAAAATACTGTAATGGTTTCTGTAAATAGCAACTTCAGAAATCCACGTTGTGTTTAAAATACAGATCTTATCTTTAAAAGCTTATTCAGATTAGTCACACCTTTATAGAAGTAATACTTTCTTGATACAACAGTTATTGAATGCTACACAGTTCCAGCTCCCAGCATGGCTAATATGCAGCAGTCAATCAAATACTGTGGTTGTTTCTCGTTTGGCAAAAGCACTGGTCTTCCTCCAGAAAAAGAATGAAAAACAAACAGACAAACAAAAGAATCACGCAGTTTTAACTTAGTGTCAATTCTTCAGTCTTTTTCTAATTAACATGGTAGACAAGTATTAGGCAGACATAATAAGAAAATATTACTTTGACAGTCGAGGGAGCTACATTAGACCTAGTGAAAAAGAAACAGATTTTTCTGAACGGAAGAACTTAATCAACTTTTAAACTCTGGTATGTATAATCCCGTCTATTTAGCATTACTAATAAGAATACCATTAAAATAAGTACCACCAAAATCACACTGAATTTGTAAAAAAAACTTGAAAAAGAAATATTTAAAAATTGAAAATGATTTTTCTAAGCCAGCTTTGACAACTTATGAGGTCATTCTCTGTTTGCATAACTGCAACATTTCAATATGCTCTGACAGTCTTCAAGCCAATGTGGTGAAGCCCCTTAAGCTGTCTTTTCTGATTCATTGCTCTGTCCCTGGCACTGTCCAAGGCCAGGCTGGATGGAGCCGTGAGCAATCTGGTAAAGTGGGAGATGTTCCTGCCATGGCAGGGGGGTTGGAACTAGATGATCTTTGCGGTCCCTTCCAACCCAAACCATTTGATGATTCTATGATTTTCCACCTTTCCAAACCACTGTCTTTCCTTCCAGAAGTTAGCTGTGAAATTGAATTAACATACCAATAATGAGATTAAACTGTGGTTTTGACACATCACAGAGAAATACCACATCTATACTTGGAAACATTTTTGATTAGCAATTTTTTAAACTTCTCTTCCTTACTAAAAGTTTCAATTATCAGTAGAATGAAGAAAAAAATACAACATCAAGTAACATAACCTTATGAGAATCATAATTATTACACTATGCTAGAAAGAGAAGAATAAAATTTTTGTAAACATATCTGAACATTTCCATTTCTAGATTTTCTTAAATTTAAATCAATGTTACTTTTTTGAATGAGTTTTCTAGCCCTGAATTTGGCACAGTATATGATATGCAGACTGTACATCCATCATTCCTCTTCATCTTCTTTTACTTAGGTAGCACCAGTGGCTATAAACAGAAATCTAACTAAAACTTTAATGAAGCTGCTTATTCATTATTAAATACTAACACAGAAATGTTAAGCCCTGAAGCACTTTACAAGGTTTGAGATTCACCTGGCAATCTACAATGTTGAATTGCAGTAAAAAGAACAGTTAATACATTTTGAGCTTTATATTTTGGTTTGTAGAGCTAAGAACTAGGTAGGTCACAAGGAGAATTATGTTTACAGGATTCCCAATTGCCAGAAGATGACAGCAACAATACCAAGCAAGTATTTTTACAGTGACAGAATTAGGAATTAAATCAAGCTTATCTGAATTATATAAAATGCTTTAACTATGAAAAACTTCTGGTTTATATATTGTATCTGAGAAAGACATTTTTTTGCTCCAAATCTGCTATGAGTACTTTTCACTGAAACACAGAATTGTTACACTGGCATATGGGAAATAAAATTAATTTCCCTGAATGACTCATGAATTCTGAAAGCTGACAAACACTAATTTGCTTC